AATAAATCCAACAAAAATGAGTTTTTCATTAGCTTAATAAGTGTTATTATGCAATTTATTATCTCATATATCGATAATTATTCATTGAATCTCCTTGAATAATCAACACACTATCTGAAAATTCAACATTTTTATCAGTCCTATAAGAATAGTCGCCATTATCTAATTCTACTATTGGATACTTATTATCGATAGTTCCACCTTCACATTTTCTACCTTTTGGACAAAAACCGGTAAGAACAAAATGAATCATATTGGTTATATATACAATGAATTCTTGATTATTAATCAATTGCTTTTTTTTATTTTTTGAAAACTCAAAGAATTCATCCTGAAAGATTCTGTGACTCCGGTTTGGCCACTAACACAAAATATAAAATTTAAAAACATCTTTAAATTTTTAAAGTTTTAAAATTAAACACGACAGATAAGATTTTTATTAATAATGCGATACGTATCGCATTTTTGAATATATTGAAATTCAGAAACAAGACTTTTTTATATGGTTTTAATAAAGTAAAACTTGTTATTAAATTAGATACCAATTTCTTATTCGTAATTAAAAGATTTAACAATATTAAAGAACTTTTGTTCAATTTGCAAATATTGTATTTTCACAATTGGTGAATCTTAATTATCGCATTTAGTACAATATGAAAAATAATTGTCTTTTTTGAATAATATTTTTTTAATGTAACGGATGACATTCGAATTTTTCATTTTTATCACAAAATTCAATACATGTAATAGCTAAAATTATTCAATTATTCAATATTCTATATTTTTTACTCTTTAAGTGTTAATGCTAATTAGCATCGCTAAATTAAATAATTTTTGATCATTAAATCTAATTAACATCTTTCTCAATAACAAAAAATAAATACTATAATTAATTTAAGATTTTTCAATTAAGTTATTAGTATGGTAAGAAGCCAGATATTTTGTATAAAATTGTTAATAATTTAAGTGAATACTAATAATTTAAACTATGTCAGCTAAGGTATTTTCAATATAATAATATCCATATAAGCACGCGCAAATTAGGGCCCTCACAGCAAAAGAGAAATGTGCCAAAAAAATTTAAAATCTTGAAAAATTATATTGTTTGGAATTAAACTATAAACATCTAATTTTTGGCCCATCTTCCTTTTGCTGTGGGGTCATACCAGAGTCTTTATTAAGTAATAGTGGCCTGAATTTAGGCCAAAATTCAAAATAAAACCTCTGCGCATTTTATTGCATAAATATATTAAATTCAATAAATTATTTATTATAGAAGAACTATGAAAACATTCACGAAGAATTTAAAAAGAAAGTAACCAATTTTAAATATAGAAATAATTTAAATGATAATTTAAAGATTTATTTAGAGATTAAAAAAATAAATTCCAAATTCAAAATTGAAGCCAACTATCATATTGCATTGTATTATAAAAAGCAAAAAAAATACAAAGAAGCACTAGACATTGCTAAAGAAATTCCTGATAACTACAGAAATATAAAAATTATTATAGCTTATTGTAATAAGGAAATTGGTTATGATGAATCTGCTTTTAAACTCTATGAAGAAATTACAAATAAAAAAATAGAAGATTTAAAGAAAGAAGAAAATTTTAATAAAGTAGAACAACTCTTTAGGGTGACAGAAGATAGATTCAAAAATAATCTTGAAATTTGGAAACATATTAAAAATAAATATGAAGGCTTATCTGAGATTGCAGATAAAAAAATCAACAAATACAATCATAGTCATAGAAAGGCTAGGCAACAAACTAATGATTTTAGCAAATATGATGTATTTTAAATTATTGATCTAGAAAGCACATTATTCATTTCTAATTAAATATGCAAGTACAGTATTTTTAATTTAAATTTTGGATTAATTTGCGGAAGAATCATTGGGGTTTCCGATATATTAATTAATCAAATCTATAGGACAACCTTTCAACAAATATTATTACTAAAATAATACCATCTTTGTAATTCTTGAGGAATATTATTTTGAAAATATAAATATGAGCAAATGTTACTTAATATTAATAAAAATATTTTTTATCAATAAATACAATATATGCTAAATTTATTATTAATTATAGATTTTGGCAAAGCTAGAGTTTAATTTGGGCAGAAATTAGTTGCAGATCTTTTAATTCACAATTTCTACCTATTTTGAGGTTTATAAGATAATCGCAAAAACCATTTACATTGACCCATACATATCCATCACAATACTAATGCTTAGTAGAAAAACTTCCTTTGAATAAGACTTGTGAAGCAAAATTGGTACAATCTTCTACACCCTTTGATTTTTTTGGACTAGACAAATTTCAGAAGTAGCTTGGTGTAATAATTTAAAAAATTTATATAAGGTTATTATGAGTAAAGTACCAGAGATGTTTAACTTATATATCTCTGACCTAAAATTACGTCACGATCATATAACTTTGATTAGGGTTAGGTTAGGGCGAAAACAAATCTTATAAGTAAAATTGTCTTCTTGACATTTTTTAATTAGTGCTCCAAAATAGGGTTAAATAGTCATTTTTGGTATTGGTATTTACTATATAAAAATTTTAATTAATAATACTTATCGATATATGAGATAATAAATTGCATAATAACACTTATTAAGCTAATGAAAAACTCATTTTTGTTGGATTTATT